TATTAGGACAATGCCCAGTGTTTTAAAAGGCATGGGAGGCATGCACCTGGAGGCGCACCTCCAGGCGAGGTGCACCTCCAGGCGAGGTGCTCCCAAAACGCCCCAAGGCATATGCCAGAGGCGTTGACACCTCTAAGGCGTACGCTTCATGCACACCTCATATAAAAAGAATGAAAAAAAAAAGAGGAAAGGGAAGGAAGAGAAAAGAAAGGGAAGGGAAAGAAAAAGAAGGAAAAAAAAAAAAGAGAAAAGGAAAGAAAAGAAAAGGGAAGGGAAGAAAAGATAAGGGGAAAGAAAGTGGTCTGCCCCCATCCCTGCGAAGCCCCCCAAATCCCCTGCCCCCCCTTTTCAATGCAGCCCAATGTGTGTCCTCTTTCAACTAGTGCTATGCATCTTTATTCTTCTTAATATAAAAGATTTTTATTAAAATTAAAGAAAAAATGAGATCCCCCTTTCCTCTTCTTCCTCTTCCCCTTCCTCCTTCTTCCTCTTGACCCTCCTCTTAAAGAGGCATATGCCTCTTACATTCTGAACAACGCCTTACACCTCTAGGTAGTAGAATGCCTCGCATCACGCCTCTACATTTTAAAACATTGGACATGCCATTATTCCATACCAATGTTTTAAAACGCGGAGGCATGATGCGAGGGATTCCACTACCTAGAGGCATGAGGCGTAGTTCAAAACACAAGAGGCATAAGCCTCCTGAACACAAGGAGGTGTAAGCCTCCTTAAGAGGAGGGGGTTAGGAGGATGAGGAGGAAGGGGAGGAGGATGAAGAAGAAGAAGGGGGATCTCATTTTTTCTTTATTTTTAATAAAAATCTTTATACTAAGAAGAATAAAGATGCACAACATTAGTTGAAAGGGGGTCTTGTAGAAGTGAAGGCGAGCGATCTCGTCGGAGCGGGCTGAGGGCAAACCACTTTCTTTCCCCTTGTCTTTTCTTCTCTTCCCTTTTCTCTTATTTCCTCTTCTCTTTCTTTTCCTTTCCCTTCCCTTTCTTTTCCTTTCCTTTTTTTTACTTTTTCTTTTTTTCCGTCTTTTTATATTAGATGTGCATGAGGCACATGAGGCGTACACCTCTAGCACACCTCATGAAAAAAGCACACGAGGCATACGCCTCTTGCACTTGAGGTGTACACCTCAGAGGTGTCAGCGCCTCTGGCATACGCCATAGGGCGTTTTGGGAGCACCTCGCCTAGAGGCACGCCTCCAAGCATACACCTCCCACGCCTTTTAAAACATTGTTCCATACTAGTGAATGGTAAGGTGGTAGACCACTTCTCGGCTACTAGAGGTATTAGGCAAGGGGACCAACTTTCCCTCTTCCTATTTACCCTAATTGTTGAAGTCTTAGGGAGGCTTATTGAGAGGGCAGATTCTAGGAGTTTGGTGAGAGGTTGGAGAATTGGGAGGGATAGGGTCCCAGTCACTCATTTACAATTTGTGGATGATACAATTCTCCTTTGTAGTGGGGATGAGATCAGGTGGGTTAGTAATCTAAAACAGGTGATTAATGTGTTTGAACAAGTGACTAACCTCAAAGTCAATTTTGATAAGAATTCTGTGATTGGCATCAATATGAGTGATAGAGAAGTGGAAGAAAGGGCTCAAATTTTGGGTTGTGAAATTGCACAGTGGCCATTGAATTATTTGGGGCTTCCACTAGCAAAAGGAGCTTTTGGAATCCAATGATTGATAGATTCAATACAGGGTTGGAAGAAAAACTACCTCTCTTTGGGCGGTAGGATAACTCTGATTAAGTCAACATTAGCTAATCTCCATGTATATTTTCTGTTTGTGTTCAAAATTCCCAAGGGAGTGTGTGGGGTTTTGGAAAAACTAATGAGGGATTTCCTATGGGAACCGAGGGTGGAGAAAAGGGATCATAGAGTTAGGTGGGACACAGTTACCAAAGCTAAAAGTGACGGTGGGCTTGGATTGGTAACTTACAGAAGAAGAATGAAGCTCTATTGGGAAAATGGTTATGGAGATTGACAAAGGAAAGGGATAAACTGTAGGCTCAAGTAATTTTAAGTGTTCATGGGCAAGGCGGCAAGGGCGGATGGCTAGGATACAGGAGTCTCATCTAGGGTTACAAGAGCTTCTCCTTGGAAGTCTATCCATGCCAATCTTCATTCCTTCCTTTCAACAGGTATGACCTTTGCTCTGGTAATACTGTGAAATTTTGGGAATATATTTGGATGGGAAACACACCTTTGAAAGAGCAATTTCCCTCCTTGTATTCCCTCTCGATGTATAAAAATGAGCCAGTATCCACCTTCCTAACCCCTTATTAATTCTACTTTTGATTAGAACTTGGGTTTTAGAAGGGCTCTTAGAGATTCAAAATTGAACATCATTTCTGGTTTGCTTAAAATCCTGGACGAGGTGGTTATTTATCCCTCTAGGAGGGATAGTAGGATTTGGGTTCCTTCTCCCATGGGTGTTTTCTCATGTTCTTCCTTTTTCAAAGAGTTGGCCCAATCCCAACCAGCTTTTGGACACCCTTTCACAATCTTGGAAGTTTAGGGTAGACCAGTTCCTCCAAGAATAGGTGCTTTTTGCTGGGAAACTTTCCTAGAAAAGTGTAACACTTGTGACTTCAAAGGAAAAGGCCCAATTGGTGTTTATCCCCACACTGGTGCATCCTATGTAAGGAAAATGGTGAGAGCTGCTACCACTTATTGGTCTCTTGCCCCTTTGTATCAAAGATTTGGTGTTGGTTTTTCTCTCTCTTTGGTCGCAGGTGGTCCTCCCCTCCAAATGTGCAGAGCTTTTTAACTCTACTTCAGTGAGGGGGTTAAAGAGGAGGCAGAATTTTGTGGAGATGTGTAAGAGCAACTATATGCTGGACAGTGTGGGAGGAAAGAAATCAAAGAACCTTCCTTGAAAAAGAAAGAAATAAGGAAGCCATCATTGAATCAGTTTCTATTAGGATGGTTCATTGGGTTAAGACTATGAAGTTTTTTGAAGACTATTCAGCAGGAGATATCATCAAGAACTGGAAAGAAGTGGCATAGTCAGCTCCCTTGAAAACTGCCTTTATTCCAGTTTGGTCTCCTCCAACTATGGGGTTCACTAAATTGAACTTTGATGGAAGTAGCGAAGGAAATCCAGGCCCTTCAGGTATAGGTGGAGTGTTCAGGGATGAAGAAGGTCGAATTATTGCCATGTATTTGATGTGGACGCCAGCAGCAGCAGCAGCAGTAATTTAGTGTTCTCAGCAGCAGCAATTTAGTGTTCTCATCCTATCTTATCTATTCAGTATTCTTGCCTTATCTGCTTTCAGTAGTAGGGATTAGTAGGAGTCTTATCTATTCAGTGTTCTTATCTTATTAGTTCAGTAGTATGG